GAGGGAGGTCAAGGGAGATGTGACGCAGCCACTCGAGGCCGACATGATCAAACTCCTGTCGGTCGCCAATCCGAGCCTCCTGCTCCGCCGAATACTTACACGACAAATGGGCCAACTCACGGCACCCCTCGACTACAAGCCTATCGGGGCCGGGGATCCTACCAAGAGCGGCCCCTTTCCTTGCCGAATCATCAGCCGCTCGATTTCCAAAGTACTCGAGCCTACTGAGCTTGCCATTCTCAACGCCTCGCATGGTGCAGTGGGCGGGGACCTTGCACCGCGAGACCCCTTCCAAATCGCGCGCATGCTGCCGCGAGTGAGACCGAGCATTATCTGGGTTGACAACGGCTGCAGGGCCCTGGACACATCCCAAGGTGCCCGAAAAGTCTCCGTAAAGACAGGCCCCAGGGAAGACGGCCGCGCGGCGGTCCTCGCCGCCCCGAGCAACCAGGGCTGGAGCAACGCACGGGGGCACGCGCCCCCAAATCGCACGATCCACCTTCCCCCGGCCGCCCGCCACCGCCGATCTGACCCTGGGGGGCGCTGGCTCGAAACCCGAGCCATCGATAAATGCGTGGCTCCCACTACCTAAGACCAGCCCCTCGGCAAGCCAATTGCACCTGCACGCAGTGGCCTCGGGGGGCTCAGTCGGGCGGGCGAACCAGCGGGTGGGGCCGGGGAGGGCGCAGCGGGCAAAGAACTCCGGAGCCCTGAGAGAGAGCAACTTGACTCGATCCGCCGCCCTGCGAACGTCAGGGCTGATTACGTCCCGTCTCCAAACTTCATGAAAGCCGCGCTCGGAACGAAGGTGGGGCATGGTCCCAGGGGCGGCCTGGCAGGCCAGGCGCACTGGATAAATATCTGGCCAATAATCGCGCAACCTCTGCTGGCGCCAATGCCGATTCGCAAAGAGGCTACGCGAACAATGACGGCGAAGATCCGACCAGGTGGGTGAACCCTGCTTCGAGAGAAGATCGAGCGCAGATTTGAGCCGCATCGGGCCTCTCCACTCACGCCCGAAATCACTCTGCCGACCCTGCTCTGCGATTGCGATGGCCTCCTCACGCGCCTCCCGAACACGGAGACAGAAGAAGGCAGGAGATAACGAATCTAGGTTCCACGCTCTGCCAAGCGGCCAATCAAAACTGCGTTGGGAACATCCAGCCGCCAACCGATGCGACAAAGCGAGAGCATGAGAGCCGCCGCAGGTTGCATGGCCGAACTCCACGGCTTGGCCTGGCCAGCCGTCAGGAGCGCATCTTCGAAAGCCGACTGGATCACCTGTTTGGAGACGCTGCGATGCCATCAAACCGGGACGAACCTCTCGACGGCATCCACCGTCACATAAACAAATGGGTCTCGCCGCTGGGCCCCAGAGGAGGAAGGCGAGGCCAAGGGGGGGCCCAGGATGAAGGGGGCCGAAAGACCTGGCCGGGGCAAATCTGAGGGCCAAAAGGGCCGAGTTCCCTAAGACCACTGATGCGCGCCCCCCGCGCGGCCTGAGCGACTGGCCCAGCCCTGCGAACCCGAGAAGCCCCCCCCCCCCTTCCCAATCTTGGGGGGCCGAGTCGCCGAGGCCGACGCGGCTGAGAGGCGCTGATTCTGCACAGGCACGCGGCGCGCTCTGCCATCAGAGGTGTCGCCGCCCAAGTCACGATGAGTGCTGGCCAGGAAGCTCTCGTCGAAAGGCCAGCCCTCATCGTCCAGCAAGGCCTCCAGCAGCTCTTGGCACGAGCAGAGGAAGCACGTCTCGGCCAGGTTGAGCGGCAGGCCAAGCTTCTCCATCTCGGTCGAGGCGGCAAACGCAGCCCTGACGAGCTGCTGTGCCACCGTGCGCAGCGTGCCCACCGCAGGAATCTTCAAGTCGTCCACAAGACTCAGCGGCCGACGCACTGGCGTCTCAATCGCCACCGTTCTGAAAACGCACAGAGCCATCAGCTTCACGGCGCCAGTCGCGCAGCTGCAGCCAGCGATGACCGTGCCATTCGGCAGCACTTGCCGAGAGGTAGCCCCAAGCCAGCGGGCCCTCCGTGGTCCTCGGTACACCGCGCACAGGCACTTCAGCAACTACTCGTCGAAGCCGTAGTGCCTGCAAGCTGCGCGCATGGCAGCGTGAGAAATGTTCTCGTAGAACTTTCGCACATCGTAGTACAACGTGCCGCTGGCGTTGTTGTGCCTCTTCGCGTGGACCACCAGCAGGTCGTGGACGTAGGCCGCGCGATCCGCGGCAGTGTCACCAGACTTGCCCCAGCAGAAGCTGGCGTCTGCCGAATTCTGGACCGCGCTCGGGGCCATAAGGCCAAAAGCCCAATCGGCCTGCGCCCAACATCAGGCGGCGCCTTCGGGATGAACACCATCATCGTGGCCCAGAGCTCCGGAACACTCGCCGCCCTCTCGAACTCGCCAAGGATGGACGCGATGCGCGCGACAATCGTGTCCGAGAGCTCGATCAAGAGCCTCGGGTGGAAGTTGTTCCAGCCAAGCCCTTTGCGACAGCCAAAAGTAAAGCGTCGCCGCACGGACTTGCTTCGCACTGATCGGCTCCAGCGTGTGCTCCACCTGCCAGGGCGCAGCTGGAGGCCCCAGCGCCCTGGCATTTCACCCAGGGCGGCAGCCACTCCTGCAGCGCGGCCTCCGCAGCCAGCGAGCCAACCTGCGGCAGCGCATCGATATCTTCAGGAAAGAAACGACGGGCGGCGGCTCGACTACCTTCGGCTTGACGAGCTTGCGCGCCAGATCCAGAAAGAGCCGATCTGCGAAACTCACGCCATAGCTTCGCCTCAGCCGCCGCGTCAGCTCGCCTGCGCACGGCGCGCTCAACGCCCAGGAGCTGAGAAAACCATGCCGCCAAAGGACTGTCTCTCCCTCTCTCTCTCTCTCTCTTTCTCTCTCTCTCTCTCTCTCTCTCTCTCTGCCAAGCCGAGCCACTTATCCACGGCCATGACTCCCATGGCCTCAGCTCCACTGACAGCGACTGGAAGCGTAAGCTCATGAGCTTCAAGAACGAGGCGAGCTCGAATCGCCCGCCGCTTGCCACGAGAGCCTCGAGCTGCACGGCCCCATCGGAGCATAGCCTGCAAGATGCGGCAAAACCTCCACCGGGCTTCCGTTTCCGATGAGTCATGATGCCGCTGACGCCGTGCTTGAACTTCAGGGAGTGGCTTCTCGACCAGTCGAATGCCTTCCCCACGCCCACGGTGCAAATGCGCAGCCGCAACATCAACTTGTTGTGCTCGAATCAGCGCCGATTCAGCCAGGTCGAACCACCAAGCAGAGGACACCTGAATACAAGAAGTGGACTCCAGTAGCTCTGCATGTTCAAGCTGGGGCTCAGCAGTCGGCTGCGGCACAACAACTTCATCGTCCTTGGCCACTCGTTTCGCCATTGCAGAAAGGCGTCGAGGGTCCTCGACCCACGCGGTCGGCCGAGGCCATATCTATCTGCCCAAGAGAGCAGCACACCTGGTCATTAGCGCCAGCAAGAGTTCCAGCGTAGGCGAGAGGCGTCTGCACGAAGTGCGCGAGCGAGCGCGACATCACGAAGTAGTCGAACTCATGATCGCCGCAAGCCGGCATGCCAACATTCACGATGATGGCGCCCACCTCGTCGCACCAGTCGCTGTCCAGCAACTCCTGCGCTTCAATGTTCCAGTCAGCCCCTATGACAAAGGAAATCGGGAACTGGCCGACGATGCTGGCCACTGCTGACAGGGGCGTCAGGTTGCCCCCCGTCAAGCCGATCGACGTGACCATGTAAAGGGACATCGCCAAAAGCACCGAGCCGCCTCCAAGATTCAGCCTCATGGCCACTATTCGGTGGCTCCACTCATCAAGGGCAGGGATGCCACCAAATACGCCAATGTGCACGCCTATGCATCGGCCAACACCTCCAGACACGGCAAGGTGCTCAGGCACTGTGCGCCGCGGGGGGCCCAACGCCAAATAGCAGCTCTGGCTGAGGCACCGCTGCCGCGCGCCACTAGCCACCCCCAGGTAGGGAAACCTCGTCTCCTAGATGAAAGCCACGTCGAACCTGCGCCCCGCAGCCGTGTTCCATTCCAACGCAGATCCAGCCCCTCGCCACGTGTCACCGTTGCACGTGATGGGGCGCAAAAAGTCCGATCGCGCGTCCAAGGGCGCAGGAACCAACTGGGCAAGATATCGTCAGCGAGCCGCTGCCCTGCTGATCGCCATCATCCGCGCCGCTGCCTTCGACGACGGCGGGTCGCTAACGTAAGCGTCAACGAAGTCCTGTGAAGAGTCGGGCCGCGCAATGTCAAAGTCGCATTCCAGACCGCGCGCGCCTGAGCGGGTCGATGGCCCCGCGGCGCCTGCAGCCGCCAGAGCTGTCGGGCGGGTGTCGGGCCCACGCCTCACGAAGAGGGGCTCTCCGACGCACGGGCCCGCGCCTGCCAAAGGGAGGGGCGCACCATCGCCCACAACAATGGCCACCTCAGGGCGGTCGGGCCCACGCCCCACGAAGAGGGGCTCACCGACGCACGGGTCCACGCCCCCAGCAGGGAGGGGCGCGCCGACGCCCGAGGCGAGGGGCAGGCCCCATGGAGCCTGGGCCCGCTGCCGCTGACCCTGACGCGGCGCCTGAGCAGCCTCCAGGAGCGAGCGGAACATCTCCCCGAGATTGTCCAGCATCCGCCAGTGCTCAGTGACGAAAACATTCCAAACGTCGAGGGTGAGAGGCCTGAGGTACCTGATGAACGCCCCCCTGCGGCGACCCCCCCTGCTCCAGGCCTCGCGGCAAGCTTCCGCGACGGCGTCCTCCACCGCGCCCCCTGGGGCGTAGCGGCGCCTGAACGACCCCCCCATGACCCTCTGGTCAGGTTGATCGAGAACCGTCGAGAACCACTCCTCGCACCAAGTCTTGCCAGGCATCAGCATCCTCCCGGCGCTCGCGATGCACGTTCCAAATCCAGCGACCAGCCCAGGAGGCCAAGTCGCCCCCTAGGATGCTCCTACCCTGGTTGGGGCCAGGCAGAGGAGGCCTGGCCGCTCCAGGGGGCGCCAATCCCACGTCCACGGGCGCGTCGTCAAAAATGCCTGACAGGTCGAGGCGCTGCCAGTCGCTCAGCAGGATGAAGTAGAAGGCCACTATGATCATCGGCAGCGAAGTCATGGTCTTTGGCGAGAATGCCAGGCTGGCCTGGCCTCGGGGACTGCCAAAGGCACACCGCAGCTGAGAGCAAAGAGCGCGAACTGCTTCATCACCTTCAGGGGCTGACACTCCCCCTGCTGCAATCTCGGCGCGCATCTGCTCCAGGCTGGGGCCGGGGGCCGCCGTCGCGGGCAGCGCCGGGCCTGCAGACGCTGTGGCAGCGGCGCCCGCCAGCGCCTGCCCAACCGGCGCATCGAGACGCACCAATGATTGCTGCGAGCACTGCGGGACCCACTCGCACAGCTGGACGGCGAACTGCGACAAGTCGGGCACCTGGACGCCAAGCTCGTCCAAGCCCTGCGCCAGCAGCTGCCGCACCTTCTCCGAGTCGAGCTGCAAGATGGGCACCACAGCTGACCCGCCTTGCGAGGGCGCCGCAGTTGCCAAGACCACGCCCTGAGCAGCCAGCGCGGCTTGCTGGGCCTTGAGGCGCCCAAGGAGCTGCTCGTTCTCCTTGACCCGGAGATTGGCCTCCTCAGCGGCCTGCTCCGCGGCCACCAAGCGCCCACGGCAGGTCTCCAGGTGCTTTTTGCCTTTGACCAACTGGCGTTCGGCCTGGTCGACCGTGTGCAAGAGGTTGCGAAGCCGAGTAGCGACAGGCTGGGCGTCGAGAAGCTGCTGCTCGAGCACCTGCCGCTCAGCCCGCAAGTCCCCTTTGAGCTTGGACCAAGTCGGGCCGTCCAGGCTAGCGATGGTGCAGCGCTCCACCTCGATCGCCGCCAGGCGGTCCTGGTCCGAGGGGGCCTCGCACTCATTGTCGACGTCCCATAGTATGGAGCCCTGCTGCTGCTGCTGCTGCTGCTGCTGCTTCGCCTTCTTAAGCTCGCCCTCGAGACACTTGACCTGCGCCTGGTAATTACTTGGCGACGAGCCCTCCATCCCCTGCCGTATGAACCAAGGCGCCCGCGGCCTCCGACTTCTTGAGCCAGGGCGCCCGCTTGGACGGCACGGTTGGGGCGGCGTTGCCTCTGAAGCAAACATTCTTCGCGAGGCCGCAGCTGAAACACTTCTTGTGCCCCGCGAAGTTAAGGAAGGGCTTGCCAGACTTAGGGTGGCGGCAGGTCTTGCAATGCCACTTTTGGGGCTCACAATATTTGCGCATCCTTTCGACACAGGAGGGGCTCGCCAAGCCGCACGGCGCACCGAAGACCCCCGCAGGGGCTGCTGATCCCTCGGAGCCCGCGGGACCCCAGAAGCAACTTGAAGACTGCCGCGGACTAGCGGTACCCCTTCAGGCACGGAGGCGCGGAGCCCCCCCAATGCAAGCATCTTGAGCCAAAAATGGTTACGGCGGAGGAGGAGGATAAAAACAGGAGGAGGAGGAGGAGGATCAGGAGGAGGAGCAGGAGGAGGGCGGTGAGGGGAAGGGGGAGGGGGAGGGGAGGCGGCGGGGCGGCGGCGGCGGAGGAGGAGGGAGGAGCAGGAGGAGGAGCAGGACGAGGGAGGGGAGGGAGGATGTGGGGCTTAGGGAGTGGAAGGGAGGGAGGGAGGGAGGGAGGGAGGAAGGGAAGGAGGAGGAAGGAGGAGGAGGAGAGGGAGGAGGAGTGAGGAGGAAGAGAAGGAGGAGGAGGAAGGAGGAGGAGGACGAGAGAGGAGAAAAGGAGAGGAGGAAGGATGGGGAGAGGAGGGGGAGAGGAGGAGGCGGAGGAGTGAGGGGAGGAGGAAGAAGAGGACGAAGAGTTGAGGAGGAGGAGGAGGAGAAGGAGGAGGAGCGGAGGAGAAGGAGGAGGAGGGGGAGGAGGAGGAGGAGGCGGAGGAGGAGGGGGGAGGAGGCGGAGGAGGAGGAGGAGGAGGAGGAGGAGGAGGAGGAGGAGGGGCGGAGGAGGCCGAGGAGGCGGAGGCGGGGAGGGGAGGAGGGGCGGAGGCGGCGGAGGAGGAGGAGGAAGGACGCGGAGGGAGGAGCGAGGAGGCGGAGGAGGAGGGAGGAGGAGAGGAGGAGGAGGAGGAGGAGGAGGAGAGGAGGGAGGAGGAGAGGAGAGGGAGGAGGAGGAGAGGAGGATGAGGAGGAGGAGGAGGCGGAAAAAGGGGCAGGGGGCCCCAGCAAGGGAGGAGGTGTCCTGCGGCCGGGGGATCCAACCGCCCCAGGAACGCGGGCGGGTGCTCGCCCAACCGGGGCTGGTCGCCCTGCCCACCACAGGGGGTAGCGGCCGCCGCCGCGTCGTCGCCGCAGCCGCGGCCGCCGCCGCGCCGCCGTCGTCATCCGAGGCGAAAGTCAACCCGCATAGGAAGGATGGGCAATTCCCCAGACTGATCCTAGAAAACCTGAGCGCAACCTAAGAAGAACTGTCAAACAACTGAGGAACACCGAGCCCCTCCCCAAAGAAAAAGGCTCCGGATTCAGCGGCCCGACTGCACGGATCACTGAGTGCCAGTGTCTGGGACGTCATGGGCATGTGCGGGCAAAGCCGCAAGAAACCTCGCAAGAAACCCAGCCATGAAATTCCGCGCGCGAGGTGCACCCGAGAGGAAACCTGGAGCAACCTGAACGCAGCAGCTTCTTCGACGGTCGCGGGAAGTCACCGCGCAGCGCGCGGAGCGAAGAGACCAGGGTACAGTCGGCCCGTATCAGAAGGATGCGCGATAAGGAGTCAAGGGCCTTGTACGCCCATTTCGAAGCTTTTCGAGCGGGGCGCGGCCAACGGAAGTGGACAAGGATGAACCGAGAAGGCAAGGATGCAAGGGTACAGTGGCCCCTTTCGTTGGCTGCACCCCGCTCGCAACGTTCTTCCCAGGCCCATGCATCCTCATCGTGCATCCTTACTCTACGAGTCGACTGTACGATGTTCAACGGAAAAACCTTATCTCTAAAATCCCGGGACAACCCCCCGGACAACCCTTCCAGGATGCATACCAGAAGCATCGCAGCATATGATTGTGGCTGGCGCTCTGGCGGCAACACAGTACCCGCTTAGGGATGTGGCCGGCGCTGAGAGCCCAGAGTCGAATCGATAAGTCGGATCGGCGATCCACATGGAACCGATCGGCGGAAATCGGCAGCCGAGTCGGGAGAAATCGAATCGCTGGCTACCGGCAAGCTCGTAGGCGCCTCAAAATCCAAATCGGAATCCAAATCGGAATCCCAAGTCGAATCGAATCGGAACCGGAAGCCATCGAAATCGAATCGAATCGAATCGGAGGAATCAAAACGAGCCCTGCGTCGGCCAGAAGTGGGTAGAAACATGAAGCAGGAAGGCGTTGGAAGTAGATTGCGGTTCCGCCCGCCCCCTGAGGAATGAGGAGGAAACACGCTCAATCCTTGAAGTAGGAGGGCGCCTAAAAGTAGACTGGCACCTGTGAATCCAGAAATGCCTACTTCCAACGACCGACGCGTACTCTGCGTTTGGTAATAAGCGTAGGGGGGTCCCTCGCCGACGAGGGTCAACGTCAACGTGTCCGCGCCCGTTGACCAGGGTCTAGTTTTTGCGGCTGGTGGCGTGGGCTGACTGGGTTCGACGTAGCGACGCAATTTCTGCCCGCGAAGGGGGTCGATTTGGGGCAGTCGGCGTGGGTGACAATTAGGAAACTCGAGGCCTCCTATCCATGAAACTGGTTGAGCTCTTCAAACTCAGGGCCATGATCTGAAAAGTTTAACAGCAGAATCGTTTGGTCCAGCCTACGGGCACGTCTGGCGGTGCGACAGGGGGGAGTCATTTACAAAGAAGAGGGATGGAGCGCCGAATCTGGTAGTGGAATGTTTCCAGTGTTCCAAACGGTGCTCCCACTGCGGCCGTGGACTCCTTTTCGGATCGACGCTTTGCTCCCGTCGTTCAGAATGGCACTCTCGCCCCAGCGCGGGCCGCAATTCTGAGTCCGAGTCCTTCCTCGTCGTTGTCGCCTCGCTCCTTTCCCCTCCTCCGCCTTCCCTTCGTCCCCCCGCTCCCCTCCCGCTCTCTCGTGTTCCCGGTGCTGCTGCTGCTGCTGCTGCTGTTCCTCCTCGTCCTCCTTCCTCCCCGTGCTCACCTCACTCGCCCTTCTCCTCCTCGTCGTCCTGCTCGTCCGCCGCCCCGCCCCCTCCTCCTCCAGTGTGAACAGCCTCCCCTTCACCTGCCAGAGCGCACAACACCAGACAGGGTCCTCTCAGGCCTTCCCCATCTGACTCGACGCCCCTCGGCGGATCAAGAAACACCGGGGGCGCGCAAACGTGCATTTTTCAGCAGGGACCGACCGTCCCGGCATTCCTATAGTCCTACCACGAAATGCTCTTCGAACCCAGAAATGTTCTCATAACCTGAACATTTCGTGCATACCACAAAAAGTTCTTAGAACATTATTTGATGGGGCGATAGGCGAGCCGGGGCGCTCCGCCACTGCTTGAGCATCAGCGATCCGTGGATTCGGCGCACGGCCGCCCTGCCTCAGATGCGGCAGGCGCCCTCCCCCCAAAGCGCGGCCCGTGCCGCGAACCTCGCGCGGCGGCGGACCGCCGCGGCCTCCCTGAAGGGGCCCTGGGGCACGCAAAGAAGCACACACAAATGACAGGATTCCCAATATGTTCCCATACTTTCTGGGTTTTTGTCTTCCCCCCCCAATTTCCCATATTTTCACATCTTTTCTGGGGAATCGAAGAAGAATTGTGTCTGTGTTTTTCTTCCCCCTCCCTGACTCCCCCGGAGAAGCGGCGGGCCCGCCGCCGCTCCGCGCCCCCGCGGGACCTCCGTGCTCGCGACCGCCCCGACGCTCGGCGGCGGCACCCCGCGGGCTGCCACGGAAGCGGGGCCCGCCGGAATCCCTCGATGTCATCATTGTCGAAGCGCTCTACTGACTACCTACCAGACCACCCCAACCCAACCCGACGACCCGAATTTCGGGTTGGGGGGGGTAAGGGTTCCATACGTGTTTTTTCGATGTTCCGCGAACCCCCCCCACTGGAAATGGAGGGCAAATCTGAGCCTTCGGGTTGGGTTGGGGTGGTTTGGTGGGTGGTGATCTACGAGGTACTCCAGGTTGCCGCAGATGCCTCGTGGAGCTTTCTCGACTTACCTCGTGGAGCTCTTCGGCGGCGAGGAGCTAGAGGAAGCCCGGCGCGGGGCGGAGCCAGTGGGCCCACCCCCGGATCCGTGCTTCAGCCATCGCCTGCAGAGTTTGGGGGCTCCGCATCCGCCGCGACGCCCCTCGGCGGCCAGAGGCACAGGGAGCGCGCACCCGTGGGGTGGGCGGGGTGGGAGGCCGGCCGGAGGTGCCAGGC